CATACAATGTTAAGTAGTTGTCAGGTAAAGTTAACATCACTTAATGTAGTAAGTTTAATAACATACAATGTTAAGTAGTTGTAGTTGTCAGGTAAAGTTAACATCACTTAATGTAGTAAGTTTAATAACATACAATGTTAAATAGTTGTCAGGTAAAGTTAGCAATACCTAAAGTAGGAATTTCAATAATACATACAATGTTAAGCAGTAGTTTAGTAAAACTAACTATATGTTTTTAAAGCAGTTTTCTTATGTTTCTAAAACACTATTGTATCATTGAAGAAGCACTTCGATTCGTGTTTCTATGATTTTATAAGTTTTTTGTGTTGTTGATGTTGTGGTTCAAGTCGTGTTCTTATGTTATTGAAATATATTGTATTTTTAAAGCAACATTCCTAGTCGTGTTCAATACGTTATTTGAACAACGCTTGCTATGTAACTATGGCAGCTTCGTGCTAATAAAGCAGCGTTCCAAGTTGTGTTTCTGTAAGTAAAGTTTACAAAGAGTAAAACTTGACAATATAACCTAACAATATTAGGTTTGCAACGTCGCTGAACTGTTGTGGTTAAGAACCATCTGACAAACAATGAATTACAGCTTTCAAGCTACTACAAGAATCCAAATTCTATAGAAGTGTTAGAATAAACTACGTCATAATATAACTAGTCCATACACGTATGTGCAATGCTATACCTGTTAATTATTTTTGTACACAGCTAAATACAAGTAAAACCAGAATTTTCTTTAATTAATTATTACATGTTATTGTATTTTGTGTTTAGTCGTGAGTAAAGATCGCATACAAAATTTTTATTTTTATTCCGTGCACTGTTAATAACACGATTAACGACCTAACGCTAGGACTAACGTGCTGGGTATACTGATGTTCTTGGGCTGTGTTTGTGTGCTATTTTAAATGCCGCTACTTCCGGTAAGCAAATGTCTACAAGAAAGTGTTCTTTTTCTAAGTTCCGTTCGAAGCTACACAAGAACTGTCTGGAAATACTGTCGTTAATGTTGTAGTAATAAATTAAAGGGAAGGCAGATACTCAACAGCATCCACCGCCGACTCATTAGGTACTCTTGTCTTTTCGAATAGCGCGATTTGACCGGCACTCTTACAGCACATAACCAAGGCTCCAAAGTACGCAGCGTGAAATTACTTCAACCAATTGCCAATCGTGAATACTCGGATTCACATTCCTGACGTGTTAACTATTAAGCCACGCCCGCTCCTCTAACGAGAAGTAAATCTAAAAAACCCAAAAAATATATAAATGTTAGTTCTCGTTTTATTCCTTTATAGGCGCCGAATCCATCGCAAGGATTGAACCCTAAATTCAAGCGAAAATGCTGATATAAAAAATAAACCAAGTAAAATGAGAGTAAGTATTACTTTCAAGTCTTAGGTAAAAAGATAGGCTTTTAACAATAAAACTCACTTTAACATGTTATATAAGACTATAGCTAATGATAGCACAATAATCCAAGTACTTGCTACATTACCCAGTGAATCTAACAATACCTAAAGCAGTAATTTCCATTAGACATGCAATGTTATGCTATAGTTTAGTAAATCTAACAATACCTAAAGCAGTAATTTCAAATAGACATGCAAAGTTAGGCTGTAATTTAGTAAATCTAACAATACCTAAAGCAGTAATTTCAAATAGACATGCAAAGTTAGGCTGTAGTTTAGTAAATCTAACAATACCTAAAGCAGTAATTTCCATTAGACATGCAAAGTTAGGCTGTAGTTTAGTATCTAACAATACCTAAAGCAGTAATTGCAAATAGACATGCAATGTTAGGCTGTAGTTTAGTAAATCTAACAATACCTAAAGCAGTAATTTCCATTAGACATGCAATGTTATGCTGTAATTTAGTAAATCTAACAATACCTAAAGCAGTAATTTCCATTAGACATGCAAAGTTAGGCTGTAGTTTAGTATGTTTAAGCCTAAACGTTTAAAAATTACTTGGCGAATATTGTTTTTATAACTGTAGACGAAAATTGCTTTATTAATTAAATAAATCATTAACATTATAAACAGATTCGCACAGGCACTGATTCATTATTCTTTAGCAATATATCGCTAAATACAATAAACGTCAAAGGTACTTCACTGTTTATTGCATCATCATGAAATTGACAGAACACGTGTTTAACAGATATGTTCGAGTCAAAGATCTATGCTTGAATGAAGTCAATAATATCTTTTTCTATACTATCAATAAAGTATACAGTTTCTGTACATTAAATAGTGTGGTTTTAAGAAATGTTTTACTGTGTGTGTCTCAAGTATAAATATTTATATATATATATATATACGTATACACGAAGAGATGCAGTGCTGACATATGTACTTTTACATCATTACTATATATATTATGAGAGTAAACATAAAGAAAGAAAGATATAACAAAATTGTAGTTTTGGTTTAGAGATGTGTTTGAGGACTTTAGAGGTCCAAAACTACTTCTAAGAAATGAAACATCAATAATAACACCAATTTAAAATATTTAATAATACTTAAGTAACTCCTTTAAGACTTAACTCTTCTTTTTTAGGTTTTGCATTATGGACCACATCATTGAGTATATATGGACCACATCATTGAGTATATATGGACCACATCATTGAGTATATATGGACCACATCATTGAGTATGTATGGACCACATCATTGAGTATGTATGGACCACATCATTGAGTATATATGGACCACATCATTGAGTATGTATGGACCACATCATTGAGTATATATATACCACATCATTGAGTATGTATGGACCACATCATTGAGTATATATAGACCACATCATTGAGTATGTATAGACCACAACATTGAGTATATATGAACCACATCATTGAGTATGTATGGACCACATCATTGAGTATATATATGGACAAGATAACTGA